CTGTTGTTTTTGTGTGACCAATGATATGTTTCAACAAATGTGTTCTCCTCATTATTTTATCTACATGCATTTGCCTCAGGCCAACAGATGACAGTGCACCCAGTTCACATTCTGTGTGTCACAACATAAACTGATTGTGAAAGCTAACAGCTGTAGAAAATAATTACGTCAGGCAAATATTTAATAATTGTGGCAGGCTGAACTGTTGCGATTCTTATTAATATTCTTTCTATGTCAGTATCAGATAACACCAGAAGGATAAGAGGTTAGGTAATGTGTGTGTGTGTCTGTGTGTGTGTGTGTGTGTGTGTGTGTGTGTGTGTGTGTGTAATGGTCAACATTTAAAAGTTGTCAGTGATGAGAATTTAACATGCTACATTAAGCAGAGGATGCTCTGAATGTGCAGACATGTTGGACATGTTTTAGAATGAGGATTTTATAAGTCTTATTTTGCTGTTAGGATTGTAATCAGCAGGTGTCGACCATTCATTATCGGCACCGACATAGAATTCTCAGCACATTCCTACTGTCAAGAACTGTGTAGTGTGATATAGTCATGGTCTATCAAATGTGGTTATAATTGCAATTTAGTAACTTGAAAACAATGGACATTTCACTTCTTTTGAATTTGAATTAAATCAGTCTGATTGGTCATGCTTAAAACGGGTATTTTTGCTCACTCCTTACGCCTGACGTATTGTTGAGAGTAAACCATGCATGTGCTCATTTTTCAAACAGGACATGCTGGCCCAGAAAGACTAGTGAGTAATCGGTGTCGAGTGTCCAACTGGTTAAAAATTGTCATTGTCAACATTTCATCAGGCTGGTGTAAGAGCAAACAGTGAACTAAAATGAACTCCATATGGTCGACATGAGCCTTTGCAGTGTTGAACGGGTATTTTAGTTTGTGTTACAGCAGCATTTCATTTACAGAGAACAACAGCCTGCTTGAGGAAGTCTGGTAGATGAATAGTTTACATCAGCAGGTCCTAGAGAACTTGTTGCTCTGAGTGGCTTGACCTGCACTGGAATGTCATGGTGCATCATGTGAGAGCTGTGATTGGGCAGAGCTCTCTGTGGGTGCTGGTGATTGGCTGTGATCAGGTCTGAACGCTGCTGGGGGTTCTGGCACTTTGCTTCCTTCTAGAGCAATCAAGTATGGAAAAGGCTCTGTGCTACTGAAGCACTGTGCTAAGATTTATGCTTGTGCTACATATAAGATTATCTCATTGAAAACACTGTATCAGTCACTGACAGTTCACTCAGCAAAAGAGGTAAGACATTGTATATTTGTGGCAGCTGAATAGAAGGAAACACTTCGCACACCATAAACTTCAAAAGGCTGTTTGAGGAATGTGAATACTGCTCTTGTAGTCATTACAACAAACTGTAACTTATTTTTGCAGCAAGACCTGGCTTGAGACAGTTCGAACTCTGTTTGAACACAGATGTGGACCATTCTACTGAATTAGTTCAAACTACTGAGTAAAGAGGAAAGCTATTAAAAAACAAGCGTTCAGAAATTTACAAGGATTATGTGATGATCTATTTAAACCCAAGACATTAATTTGTAATTTATTAACTTATTATTCAATGGGTTGATATAATAATAAGTTAAATATATACAAACCCATTACTTATAGTGAACTTTCTATTGAGAGGTGGTTGACCCAAACCCTAACCCCTAAATTTCAACTTGAGTAAATAATCCTTTTTTTTGCATCTTTTTCAGTGTTTATTAAAAATGTTTTTGGTTTTCTTTTAAAGTGAATTTGAAAGAATTATTAGAATTACTATGAGTTTAATTATTAAAAAAAAAACTTTATTCAAATGCTGTCCCATTATGTCACTACAGAAACACAAAGAGTTTTAGTCCTTATTCAGAGCCTTATTTTAGCCGCAGCCCTGCATTTTAAAGCAGGAAGTGAGACTGCATCCCTGTCCCTCATGGCCACATGGTGAGCAGTTATATCCCATCGTTTTAAAGTAAATGTGTCCCAAAGTGTTATAATTAGTCACTACCAAAACATTGCATTTTTTTCTGCAATTGATTAAATGTTCTGCAATTGAGTTATGCTTAACATTATCTAAAATTGTCACTACTGAAACATTTAGTAAACTTTCAGTAGTGTTATGATTGTTTTGGTTGTGTCTCACAGTTTAGAGGTCAGGGGTCCTTTCTTCAGGTGTTGTCTAACTGCTCTCTGAAGTAGCTCTCTAACTGCTGTGTGCAGTGCTGCTAGCCATGTTATCTAACTGATGTATATAATGTTATAACTTTTGCTAACGAGTGCTAATAACTATGCTATTTAACTGCTGTATGCAGTCCTGTTAACTGAGGATGCATGATGATATCTGGTTCATACAGATATCAGCAGGTTTGCTTTTTAAAAAATTATTGGCATCAGACAGGTGTGATTTTTACCATTATTTGAAAGTGATATTTCATGATAGATTTATTGTACTTTGGAAGGGCAGAATGTTTAGGTGGAACTGGGTCACTGCACTAAATTTGATTAATTTTAGTGCATTTGTAACCCTATAGAAAGTAGTCCAGAGCAAACTAACCACATCTTAGATAAAGCTGTCCAAACTAGTGTTTTGGGAGATGCAAAGACCATTCAAAACCTCAGTAGATCTTTAATAAAGGAAAATAATGCCAAAAAACAATGCAAACTGTTTCGGTCACGCACCTTCTGTGCATTAACATTCAACACAATATGGTGGTTTTATAGTCACATGCATGTCATGTGATAAATCACATGACCACATCACACAGAAACCATCCAGTAAATGCAGTAAATAAAATACAATTCACAGTGCAAAAACCAAATCATCTTACAAAATTACTACCCACATAATAGATACATACAGTAAAGATACATAAAGAAAATACAGTAAGCTCAGATATAGGCACCACTCTGTTTCCTCTGATATAAATATATGCTGCATTTGTCTGACACCACAAAAGCTGATGTTTAGCACCTACAGAAATGCTATAGGAAAATTATATTTCTCTCTAATGCTAATTCAGGTTGATAAGAGTGCTGATTTCTTTTAGAAATGTTTTCTGTATTGGTATCGACATTGGGAGGCCTTATTGGTAGGCCCTATGACATTTGGGCTGCGCTGGAAAATGAAAAATATTGGATATCGATATCGGATATTGGCCCAGAATTTCCACGAGTCAGATGTTATCTAACTGATATATGCAATGCTAGTAACTGTGCTGTTATGCTAGCAACATACTGTAACACAGCGTACAGTCAGTGCTCATTAACATGATGAAACCTGGCAGATGCTAAGGTTTCGACCTTATTGCCCCTTGATGAGAAGGTGTGTGTGATGAGCCGTCACCACGCCTTAGATATCTGCAGCTCCAGTGATACCGTTGTCACATTAGCTCATAAAAGAGGCATTTACATTACACTGTCATGTGAAAGCCTTTGAGTGTATCACATAATTACAGTATATTTGCAGGCCTGTGCTACAAACAGGGGAGTATTGCTGTCACAGATTGGGAAAACAGCACTATTGCTGCTTTACATTAACCTTTGCTGTTATCAGCGGTTCTAGCTTTTAACTTCCTTCTCCTTTCTCATGTTTTTTTGTTTTTCTTTCCCTCTTTAGTCCTTCAGATCTGCATTAGTGCCAGGTAACAAAGTTCAGTGAATGTGGTACTGTTACAACGCAGCAGGCTGAAGTTTAATCTTTATGTGTTTTTTGCTATATAGAACATCCCCCCACCTTCTCCCCCTCCTCTCTCACTTGAATAGAACAGAATACCTGCTCTAATGGGTGGTCTTTTTCATCAGCTGGAATCAAGAAAAGGATTGTAATGAACATAATGAGGTCTGGGGAGAACTTGCCACGTGTTCCTTCATATTGCCACCATTAAGAGCCTAATAGCAGCCATTATCTTATACAGTGTTCAGATTTTACCATAATGGCTTTTGTGTCAAACCTCGGAGCGTGAGAAATGGACCAGCCGTTCTAAAAGCTCATCTTCTTTGCTGTGGTCTTTATTGCTAGGGTTAGGTTTCTAATTCTAGACAGGCTTTCCACAGTGCTTCGGGCAATGCAGGGGAAAAGTGCTGTACTTTGGCCAATGTTTTACTATAACTCACAATATGTGCTCGAGCAGATGGAAAGCATACAGCAGAGTTGTGAACTAGTGTTTGGAAGTGTTGTTTTTCTGATATTTTAAAACCTTCTAATACATTTACGAGGTTTTGAGTGAATTCTGGTTGGGCACTCACTAAGGTTAAATTCGATTCATGGTCCTGGGTTCACAATTTTTTGGTATTTTCACATTATTTTAAACAAATTTAAAAAAGATTTGAATGACGAACAACAGTTGGTCTTGATTGTGAGGAAACTTGGGTGTTCAAACCATACAGTTGCATTAGATATGTTTAATAATAATTAATATTGTCCATTATCCATGAAGCCCTGTCACAGTCTCCATTGTGATATCACAATTTCACAATGCACTGTCACACCCCTAGGTTGTACATTATTAGATATCTCTGAAAATTTGTAACAAGTTGATCAGAAAGTTCTATTAGTTTGGTTACATTAGGGGTGTTTTTTTTAATGTGAGAGCATACAAAGAAATGCTTGTGTGCAATCATTATAACTGGTGAAACTGTCTTTTTGCAAGTCAAATATCTAATGCGACCATGCAAATGTACCTTGTTGTCATTTCATGCATGGAACAAAATCTTCCTCTTCACTTGTTTATGTTACCTGATAGAACATGCTTAGATAATTTTGTTTATCTTACTTTTGTCCTATAGGCCTAATAACATAAAAAAGGAACTGCTTGGCACCTTGGGTTGCTGTCTACACCTGTTCAGCATGATTGAAAGTATATTGTACCTTCCCAAGGTCATTTCATTACCCATTGCCAGTTCGATTTGCAGTGAGGAATGTTTGAGCAATTGACTTTGCACTCTTCATAGCGCTAAGATGATGTCATGTCTTCACCTGCTGCTCTAATGGAGGTCGGAAGGGCAGTCTAGAGCTGGAAACTGTGAAGAAAACTTCACTCCTTTCACTCCGAGTGCTGATGTCATCCTATTTCCCTAAAGCTGACTTCTGTCTGTTGTGTGTGGGTGCCCACTCGCGAAGCTGGTGAAGAGAGTAAATAATGCATAAGTGAGTGTTCTCTGCCTTCACTTAATTATTAACAGAGACTTCTAGCCAACTGAAAAGGAAAATAACTAAGTTACGAAGCTAAACGGCTGGGTTGTCTGTGGATCTGTACACTTTGGAGTCATGTAAGTGTGCATTGCATGAAAAAGGGCGAGCTGTGTTTGATTTACTTGCTTATTAGCTTGTTATTTAAGCTTCTTGTGTCCATTATTTTTAGTTCAGATTCAGATTACATATTAATATCAAATGCGATCTTTTATACTGGTGTAGCTGGATATGTTCTGAGGAGAGTCTGAATTGCTTTGCAGTGGACAGTGAATTTGACTGACAGGTAGATGTCACTTGATCACTTGTCAACATCGACCTAGGCTTGCTGTTAATGTAATATGAGAATTTGGAGATGTTCTACCTCCTGGGTAGAATTACCTGCCATTTTTAGCGTGCTTTCCAACAGAATTGCAGCAGCGAAATGGATCTGGCTGGGTTGAAGATTCTTTCCCAGCTTCCAGTGGCCTAAACATTCTTAATGTTTCTAAGAATTTCCTGTGTGTTTGATGTTTGCCAGCATTGTGATTGTTGCTGTCAGGAAGTAACTTGCGATATTGTTTCTCTCTGAGGATTAGATATTACGTAAGGATGAAAATTAAACTTTGTTCTTATGATTTTGGATGAAAACTTAAGCATAATAAAGGGAGAGACCCATAGCAAACCTCATATTAGTGGAACTAGTGCTGCTGAGCGGTCAGAGCATCTACATCTTTTTGCCCTCGGGTAATTATGAGGAATGTCTGAAACCAAGGCTAATGTTTGCCCACCCAGCCTGCTGTACAGATTAAGTTTCTCATAAAGACACATGACATAATACAGTATGTGCTGGCCTTATTTGCTTTACCTGTGTCAGCTTATCTTGCACATTCCATTCCTTGTGTAATTGCCAGGCCACCAGGACACCGATAAGGCATTGGTAAGACTGCCATGCTAGCATTTAGGGGATTGGAAAAAAAAAAGCCCGGCCAGTCCAAACCGCTTGTGTGTGATGGGATTTTTTTGTAAAGCAAGTGCAAGAAAACCTTTAGCAAAAGCTTTCTGTAGTTAGTTCTCTTGGTTTGTTGGTTGTGTTCATCCGGCAAAAAATTAATGATATGATTAGTTGACGTTTTTTGAACGTAACAGTGAGCTCTAATGAGCTAATCCACTTCTATTAAATTTCAAAGTAGAATTTTGCCCTTGCTGAACCCTTACGTTTTTTGGGAAAGGGTATTTCTTTTGGTGGCCAGCAATATAGAACAAGCTTATTACTGCAGTTTAATCATTACATCACGTTTGTTTGGAGCTGCAACACTGAGGCATTTTGTCTCATTTACCATCATGCAACATGATTGGTGATTTTTTCCATCAGTCAGTCTGCTTAAAAACTATTCGTCCATTCAAACGAGACCTGGAGTTTAGGAAGGTCTCAGCTTTCCAGGTTTCAGGAGTGACCTAGAATCGTGACAGATGAGGAACAGCAAACATGACCACAATGTTATATTTGTTGTCTCACCCATTAAACATTTTAACCATTCATTTTAAAATGGTTAAAATGTGAATAAATCTTTGCTCTACCCACAAATCTGTTCCTTCATAGCAATGATTTTGAGGTTGAGCAAGCTTTATGGGACAAAAATTTCATTCAGCCTAAGAGAAACTGAATAGAGAGTAATAAAAATACCATTTCAAATGATTTTTCTTTTGTTTACACGTAAGGTCACACTGTTATAAATTGAGTATAGTTTTTTGTTGTGTAACTGAGTTAACATTTACATGCTGTTGTTTCCAACATGACTAGTTTCAATTAGCTCAAGAACATAGTCCTGCTCGGTAGCATCTTAAATGTGTAGCTCATTGTTATGTAGCGAATCTAAACTCTAAACCAAAATTCATTAGGTTAAATCTTGTTCAACCTCACAACAATTGCTACGAGAGGACGCATTCATGGGTGGAGCATAGATAGAGTCAGCTGTATGTGTGTCTGGAATTTCGATTATTTTTTATTTTTATGCGTATCTTCCAGTGTGCATGTCATCTTGCCAGTGCAGCCCAAATGTCATAGGGTCTACCAATAGGGCCTAATCAGAGATCATGGAGTTTTATTGTTTGTTTGTTTGCCTGCTATACCACAGAGTTTCTCAGGCTTTGTGCCATGTTGTACTGTTTTGTATTGTTGCTGTCTGCTGGCGTTGTCAAGACAGGCTGCTGTGAATACTGAGGTTACGATTAAGAACACCAGCCTTCTGTCTAGGAAATGGGTCATTTCCTCAGCGTTTGTTCTCTGTATCCTCTTGCCTTACCTTGTATTTTATTTAATGCAGGCCATTCTGTATTGTGTCCTTGGTTCTATGCGAGGCAGATGTCTTTCTGAGCAATGAATAGAGAAATGAGGAATTAAAAGAAAGATGTTTTTTGAATATGAATATGTTGATGTTTTGGAATAAAGACCTGGCTGAAGTTCATTTTTCTGTTACCTTTGCACAGCCACTTAGTTTCACAACGCAGAATATTCAGCGTTTATTTCAGTTGAACATTATCTAAAACGTCCCAGTATATAGAGGGCAACATATTCCAATTAAATTGCTCTTATAATTTCTCCATGTGAATTATATGTCTTTTGAAGGAGAATTGTAACTCTTTGCTTTCACATTGTTAGCACATCAGAACTCATTTCAAAATGTGCGCTTTACATTGAGTTTGTTTCAGCATTAAAAGTAATTGTGTTGTGCTCTATTTCTGGACTTTCTCTCACTTTATCTGACACCCAAGACTGTATTGCCAAGTTACTCACTATTATGTGGGCTCTTTTCTCTCTCACTCTCCCCCTTTTCTTTCCCTTTTCTCGCTCACTCTGTCTCGCTTTTTCTATATATGGGCTTACTCGGTTGGCCTCATTACTCCCTGAAGAGGAACGATTTGCAGGATTTGGGGCTTTTTTGTGTGCTTTGTGTTGAACAGCCTGGATTTTGGCTCATGGCTCATGACTCATGACTCTGTTTGCTCTGGTTCTCCTAGTGGGTGAACATACGTGTTTAACTGTGTGTAAGGAAGTGCACAAGAGTTTGTTGTTGTTAGACAAAACATTGTTCACGAACAGCTTTTGGGATTCAGGCTCCACACGCATCACCTCCTTATTTACATAAAGGTGATTTATGCAGGTCTTTTCTCTGGTGTTTACTGGGCACTTTTTCATAGGGGTGCAAAAATCCGTCATCACAGTGATTAGATTAAATTGCGGTTGAGGAAATGATTGAATCCGTCATCAGATTTCACTGTGATACAATTCTATTCAGTTTGATTTGGTTATGTATTCAAAAGTGTAACTTGAAGAACTATGTACACAGTAAAATAGGCTGTAACACAGTATACCACAAGTATTTTTAAAGTTGCTTGAATTTTATTTTCTTTTTGGGCAAAAAAAATGTTTGCATACCAGGGCAATAAGGCAATATTTTATCGTTATTATTACGTTATTATTATTACTACGCCAGAGTGCACTTTCCTGAGCGTATGTTTGATATCGCAAGGACACCAAACAACTGCATGTTTCATTATGAAGAAAGCATAATTAGTCCTGTTGAGTTGAATGTCTCCTGTAGTCTACTGAATGTCCACTGTAGTCTACTGTGACGCAGTACGTGAAACACAAAAATCGTCATATTCATATTTTCCATAGTCTTTTAAAAGTGCCATTACTGGTGAATTTTATCTTTTCAACTTAATCAAACCTCAGAAAAATGAAATATCATTATACATATTGTGTATTGTGGCAGTGTCTTCAAGTATTGTGAGACATTTTTGCCATATCACACACCACTAGTGCATACTGAATTTTACCATTAATTAGAGTTCTGACATTTCAAAATTCATGCAGTTGTATCATCACTTTCAGATTGATGCATCATATTGCATTTACATTTCTAAAATGTACTGTTCACTCCTCACTCCATACCATTTTCTTGCTTTTTTGTGATGTCACAAAATCTATTTAGCCAACAGCAGTTTAGCCCCGCTCATTCAAGTTCTAAGGCAAGTGTTGGTCTGGACTGCTTCCTGAATGAGGCAAAATACAGGGCAGCCAGTCAGAACAGAGGTCACTTACATCAGTCTTAAAATCAGAGTAACAGCCTGCTTAATTTGAAAAGATAAAGAGAGGTTGTAAAATGGTCATGAAAACATAGATAATGATGATTTTTCTTACACAAATCATACATAAACCTTAGGGAAAATTATAAAATGCAGGATAGGACAAGATAGGATAGGATAGGATAAGGGCCTTTTAATGAAGATCTTTTTGGTACTACACATATTTTTGTTCCATATATTGGTCCTTTACACGTGTGGTGGATTATTGTTGATAGCTTTAAATGTCTGGGTGAAAAGTCAGAACTGAGGAACTCCTTTGCTTGTGCCCTGTAATTCCAGACAGAAGTCGTTTCCAGACTGGGTCAGTATTTACAGCGGCTAGTTTGTTATTGTGGGGATCGCACAATCGGGCTGCATATTTCAGTGCATTTGCTGCAAATGTACTGTGGAATTTGACCCCCTTGTCCTGGAAGTCAACATAAAGCACTAAACATTGTACTGTAACATTAGAATGGCATGCACATGGTGACCTCCAGGTGGTCCTGGCCTCATAGCTGGCAGACCAGAAAATAAGTGCCTCTGACATCCTGAAACAGTCATGGAATTCCTCTAGCCTTGTTATAATCTTTTGACCAAGCTTGGACAAACCAGTTGACTTCCTCTGACTTGACTCTCTTAGCACGTTCATATTATGATTTTTTTTTAAACAAATGACTTTACATTATGTCAGGGATACTTTGTAAAGGTTTGTCCTCTTTCTGAGATTTAACTAAAATTGGCTGAAAGACTATTCTAGTACACTCACTGCACTCCATAAGAGTCCTCCAGATCTCTTAAAATTCCTAATAACACACCTCTTCATAATGATTTTACATATAAAGAGGTGCTGTTAGGTGTTGTAACAGAGACTATTGCTAGTTTTAGTTCTATAGTTTATCTAAATTTATGGTGTCGTTGTACAGTTAATAAAGCAAAAATTAAATTGGCACATTTAAAATTTGATTCTGAGGCAACAGTAGCTGTTAGTCTCAGAGGAGTGTTGTAAGTGCTTGAGGTTAAGAATAGCTTGTCCATGTTGTTTGTCGTAAGCCTTTGTGACTCACATTCATCTGGCAGGTGGGAATGGCAGGAAGTTGAAAACAACAGTGTTGCCCTAAGGTTTTTCTCAATAAAGAAACTACATGGACTTACATGTACAGGACTATGCTAAAGTCAAAACACTCAATACAAGTTATTTATTTTTCAGCGCCAAGCGTTTTATTCCAAAATGCCACCTATTTGTAAAAATTCTGGACAAAAAGAGTTTTTGTAAAGAGTAACAACTGATGTTAATGTAAAACACATTTTTATTTCTCTAGTAAAAGTCATATTAATTAGAATGCATTGACGCCACATGCATTTGATGACACCGTATACGCATGACAAGTCTAGCTTTGAAAGGTCTACCAGCCTGAAAAAAAAATCTAGGAGAAACACTGTTGTACATAATGTTGAGTTGTCTTCTCACAGTGGAAGGGTGGACAAAAACACCTGTGAGTTTTTTTCTGAAAATGGAGCTTCTCTTTCACCTCTCTCTCAAAGATGAAAGCTTTAAGTACTATTTATCTGATGATGACAGTTTTGATGGTCTACCAAGCCTTGCATAGTTGTGATGAGACCTAATTTCTCTGTGTCTTTGAATAGTTTTTTAAACTCCTGATTTTTACTTATTTTCCTTTGACGTTCCCCCTCCCTGTGCAAGTTAATCTTAAGAAATATCTCCTGTCAAATGAATAACTTGCACTTAATGGCTGCTTCGACTATAAATTAATTAAGTGAAGGGTGGTCCCTGTCTTTTTGCACAGTACTGTATACCTACCGAATAGTTTCAAAAGGCCTGTTGTTTCCTCTGAAACTTGAGAGTTCGGCAAACCCTCCGGTTGACTTAGTGGGAGAAATTAAGGACAACAAAACTGTTCAGGGTTATTAACTTGAACACCATGTTGAATCATTACTTTTGAGGCCTTACCAGTGAAGTGGAGCAGCTGGAAAGTCCTGATGCTATTTACCTTTAGCTGTAGTTTAATTTTTTTGAGTTTCCACAGTGTTTAGGTAGAAACTTCAAAATAATATTACATTTAAGGACCATGTTCATGCCATATTGATTAGCATGTGATTGCTTATAACATTGGTTATTGTTGTGTTTTTGAATTGAAGTTCTGGATCAGTGCAATGCTTGTAGCTGGAAAGACCTTAAAGAATCTCGCTGGGTCCTTTGTGCATAACGAACCCCTTAAAATCATATTAAATCAGAAATGTTAAAATAAGTTAGACGAAAAGTACGCCTTTGTAGCTGCATCCTCTATGATTAATGAAACGTGAAATGTAACTACTGGAAATTGGCTCTTTCATATTACTGGACTTTCTGCTTAGATAAATTTACTTCACTACATCTCTGGTTGATTAGGCTTGTTCAGAGGGACGGTCACTTCTCTAAGTGAGGGTTTCTACCGAAGGGTCCCTCCCCTCCTGCCTGGCAACTCTCCATGTGCAGAGAACTCTGGGAATGAATGGCGCCCAGGCCCTTTCTTTCTTTGAAGCCAGCCAGGAATGTGAGGCCTTTTTTCCCCTCTTCAGACACCATTATCAGCAGTGAAATATTCCCTCTGCTGGGCCTATTGTGCGTTTGCAGGGTGGACGTCACAGGCGTGCAGAGCCCGGCCTCTCAGCAGGGTTTGAGGAGAGCGAGGCCCGCTGGAGCTCCACTGTGTGCTAGCGGCCCAAGTAACAAGTCTGTAGCAGGAGACAACTGTCCAAAGATGTGCTTGCAGAGTGGCTTGAAATGGATCATTGGATCATTTCTTTTTTCGTTCTTGGACTTCTGGTAAGGCGTGAGATATTTGTTGTGTCATTTATTTATTTTAAATTATTTGATCATTGATCCATACAGTAACTAGTATATCTTCTATGAAGTTGACAAATTTACAACTCATGCTTAATTTCCCTTCTTTATGCAAGTTTGTATAAGCAAAACGGTCCTGGGGAGAGGTCTGGCTCTCACTTTTTCCAGCTGAGTGCTTCCTTGTGTACTTGCCCAGATCATTATGAATACTCTCGCTCTTGCACATGAACGCCCATGTGTACACATTGCAAAATATGAATTTAAGCCACAGTGTTCCGCAAAGAACAGTCAATTAAGCGATCACTTTACATCTGCCTTGTCATGCTCTAGTGGTGTTTAAACAACCCCATTGCCCCACTGGGAAGTTTTTATTTGGTTGCATTAACAGAGGACAGCGCTACAGCTCTTCAACTTATTGTAGTTATTAATGGGAACTGTTTTGTTTGTTGTATGTAATAGTAAGTGAAACATCTCTCATGTCGTTGTGTTTCCTGTTTCTGTGCTTTGTGTGACCTGTGCAGGTGCGTATCAGGAATAAGTGAAGTAAGTGTAGTTGTTTTGAACTATGATTAGGAACCTGCATGTCCTTCATAAGAGTCATGCATCCATCATTCATGTTCTCATGAGAGATTTTATCTCCACGAAGACAGTAAGATATAAATCTGACATGAATCTTGCAGCAGAAACACTTATTGACCTCTTTCTGTAACAGCCTAATCCTAAATGAAGTTTACCAGAGGAAGATATCGTACTGCATAATTAAGTACCATGTAGTATGTTTTTTGCTTGTTTCTGTTCTGTGCTTTGTATGACCTGTGCAGGTGCATATCAGGAGTACGTGTAGTTTTTTTGAACTATGTTTAGGAACCTGCATGTCCTTCATAAGAGTCGTGCATCCATCATTCATGTTGTCATGAGAGATTTTATCTCCACAAAGACAGTGTGTAAGATATAAATCTGACATGAATCTTGCAGCAGAAACACTTGTGTTTTTTTTTTGCTAATTTATATATATATTAGATAGATAGATAGATAGATAGATAGATAAATTACTATTTAGAAAATATATAGTTATATATAGAACTTTTATTTTTTATTTTACTTTTAATATATAGCTTTTTCAGGAGATGGATATAAAATTATTTACGTGTATAAAGATGGGGGAAAGTCGAAGAAAAGTGAAAGTAGATAAATGAGAGACATATGAGAAAATGGCACTTCTAGCAATAATGCAAGACCTGGTAGACTACCAAAACTGTCACCATCAAACAGATAAACAGTACCTTATAAAATCCTTTAAAGCAGTTATCGTTGAGAGAGAGGAGAGAAAATCAAGCTCAGAATTAAATTACAGGTGTTTCTGTTCATCGTCTTACTGAGAGAACACTCTGTGGATCTGAAAGGATATGTAGCTGTCAAGAAGCTCTTACTGAGAAAAGACAACCCAGAGTCCAGACCTCAGCATCACTGAATGTGTTTGAGATTACTTGTATTGTGAGATGCTGAAAATGTAACCAACTTCTAAGACGGAACTGGAGGCCTGGAAAAAATATTCGTACAGTTTTCTGTGGAAAAGCTGAAAGCAAGTCTCCTGAAAAGAATGAAAGCTGTAATAAAGACAAAGGGTAGACACACTAAATACTGAAAACAATAAGTTTATATTTAGTTGTTGAGGCCTCTATGTAATTTTCTGTTGAAATATATTTCCTGATTTTTCCTGGTGCAGGAGTTTGTACTTAATGTCAGTTTGACTAGAAATTAAATATATGAAGGGTGGTCTCTGATTTTTACACAGTACTTTAAATATTTTCATAGTTAACATTCATAGAGTTCCTCAACACTGTATAATCCATTTAGGAATTATCACATGATTAAGCTGAAATTATTTCACCCAAGTTGAAATGGCATTCCAGACATTTTTGATTACCACTACCCCAACTTGCAAGGCCCTCATTAAAGGTGATGTTGATGAAATCTTCACTGTTTGCTGCTCATTTGCCTATTATTTTTACAGTTCATAAACAACACTACAAGAAAGCTTTTACAATCGATTCTGTGTGTAGTGTGGGTATATCGCAGCATGAACATTTTAGGTTAGTTAGCAATTATTGTGAGTCTTTTATCCTTAATTGCTGAGTTTACAAATCCTCAGATCAAGGCTTGCTTTTTTCCTACAAGTATTCAAATCTCCTATAAAGATCTTAGTCATCCTGACAATGAGCTGTTAGGGACAGCTCAGTAAATACAGGCATTAGCCTTAGGAAGAATTCCACATGAATGAGACTGGAAAAGAGATTTAATTATAAACACCAGGGCGATCTGAGAGATACACTGTACCAAGCACTGTGCTCGAAAGGTATTTGGTCACATTCCTACATGAAGAAACCATGGTAGAACCATTTACATGATGATTTCCATTATAAAGATGTTTGGCTTGAATGTGTTTGAAGTGCATGCTTATCTACAAACTTGCTACTGTTGTTGTTTAACTTCTTGCCCAGTAGACATGCAATGTTGAGAATCTAACACAAACATGCTATTTTTAGTCAACACAGATGCCCTGAGCAATATATGCATATGGTAACGTAGCATGCCAGACCCGGTTATATCAAGAGCCTGAGACAGCTTTCATCTGTTATTGAAATCACATTACAGTCCAAAAGATAATGGTAGAACCTGATATGTTGCACTGATCTATTTTCATGGGACGGTGGCTTAATCTGTTTGTTCATTAAAACAAATGGAGCCTGCTGATAGAAGACAAAAATTGGCCAGTTAACATCATGGGTGTGAGTAGAAAAAACAGATTGCCTTATTAGCTATGCTACATGTACGGCTCATTAACTTGATAAATATTTGCAAAGAATTCTCATTGGCAGTAGCTGAATTTTGATTCAGTGTTTAGAGGTAGTGCAAGATACAGTTTACTAGGGAATCCTGCCAAGAAATGTCTGATCCTAATATAGTGTTTATATCATTTCTTTCTTCAGGTGCTGACAGAATCCTGTAATTTTTGTTCAGTGACGATCCTGAGAAAATGACAGTGGATGCTGGCTAAAGGACGAAGGAGATGTGACCTGAAAATATCGAGGGGGACAAGTAAATGTGTCTTTGTGTCTTTCGTTTCACTTGGATCCATGTTTCTAACTTGCACTCCAGATGGATTCCTACAGCTTCCACTTTGAGAGAATGAACAACCTCGACTTGCACCCTCTTAGCCTTCCCGTCAGTCGACTTTCTCCTGCGAAGTCTACTAGTAGCATAGACCAGTATACTCACCATCACGGAAAAGGGGACTCTGCTTATAGCTCATTCTCTGGAGGATCTAGCGCTCCTGACTATCCTTCACCCTTTCTGCCAGACGATTTCCACCCACATAGTCTGCACTATGCAGATCTTAAGTATGTGAAGGCTATATATAGTCCCAACATCCTGGAGTCAGATTCAAAGAGCATGGACCAGCTGTACCGTTCCATGGAGGCCATTGCACAGCAACATCAGCATCATCAAAACAATAACGGCTGTTCCCACATCAGAGATTCTCAAGAACATTCTACCCCTTTAACACCACCACCACCTCCTGCTCGTCTCGATAGCTTCGTAACCACCCGGAACCTTGAGACCTCAAGGGTGCGCCAGAGTCCTGAGGGGCAACTTGCAGACATTTCCTCCTTTAGAACCCAGACAGCTAATCCTGAAGCTCTTGGTCTGAAGTCTGACCCTGTCTATGGTCGGCGAGTTTCACAGCATTATCAGAAGGACCAACTGAAGCAAGACCTTGTGGATAAGATCCTTGAGTCAAAGTCAGCAACTCTTTTAAGCCGATTGCAGACAAGTCAGCCAGAACACTCACAACAGACGAAGGGCAGCCAGTCCGAAATTCAACGGAAGAGGTCACATTCAGCTCACGGGGCTTCGGTCACTGAGCAGCAATGTGCGATCCACTCCTGGCACATGGCACAAAACACGATCAGTGGAAGTATTCAACACAAAGGGCAGTTCTATTTTGTCACTGGCGTGTACAAATCGCCTGAGTCCAGCGTCCCACAGGCACAGTGTGCGGTAGAGAGTTCCGGCGCAGAACCCCACAGGCAGGCTGAACAGCAGAGGTCTCATAGTACGATAGAAAACATGTTCAAGAATGTTCAAGGAAGAAAACCAAGCAGCCCTGACGGCCCCAGTGGAAAACTGTTTTTTCAAGAGGAAAAAAAATTAACCACACCAAGTGAAGATAAGGAGCCTCCTAATAATCATGTGTTTAATTATTTCTGTAAGACCGAGAAAGGTGCTCAAAGTGTAGATGACTTGGAAGATATCCAGAGGATTGTGAGCATGGATATAGGTAGACATCACACCACCAATCATCCTATCTTCTACTGTGGCCCAGAAAAGAGCTTCTCAGCATCTGAAACATCTCAGACTAAGAGTATTACTGAAAACAACCAGAATGCACATGCACAAAAAGATGAAGCTGTAAACAGATCGACGAGACAGCCTTTAGCAGAGGTGCCAACTGAGAAGATCAGCAAAGAGAGCACTCCTCTCCTGTACCACCTTACTGGAGCCAACAGGGCCTCCCACATGAACAATGTCAAAAATGAGAAAAACTCTACATTGGGTAGCAAAGATCCAGACTGGGGCAAAGATAAGCAGAAAGCAGGAAAGGAATCTTCTGGGGGTGATTCAACACACAGTGAAGTATCTACAGAAGAGAAACTAAAGGAGTTCTCTTACCCATGCAACACCTTAGACGATTCCTTTAAAAAATATTACAAGGAAAAACTGAAGGATGCACAATCTAAAGTTTTGAAAGAGACTTCATTCAAAAGAAAAGATCTGCAGCTCACTTGGCCAAACAGAATTAAACAATGGTCTGACAAGAGGCTCTCTGTCGTACCTTCTGGCCCTCCTTCACAGGATGTGCATTCCAAGCTGGAAAGCCCTATGCAACCTCATCTGCCCAAGTTTCAAGAAACAGATAAAGAGACTTTGAAGAACCCTACTCAAGAGATTGAGAGACAGATTGAGAAGGAAACCATGAAGCAGCAGAATATTGCTCAGCCACAGGTGCCTCGAATTGGCTCTAGGAAGCGTCTGACCCCAGAACAGAAAAAACTGTCTCACTCTGAGCCAGAAAAACTACACCAACTGGCAGACAGACCTGTTCATATGACCTGCCGATCCCTTGGCAGTGAGAGTGAAGTAATGCTCACAGAAGACAACCTCGGTGAGCATGGCCTGGTTTCTGCCAGACGAAAGATGTTTGAGACAAGGGGACGTGCTTTGTCAGCCTCCAGCTTCTCAAAAAGCAGTCTCAAGCACCTTCAGCACAAGGCCTTGGTAGCATACATGGAACGGAAGACTGGCCATAAGGTGGCTGAGCCTCAGCAGCCAATGCCACAGGTGCCCAGCCAGCGGCACTCAACTGCTGGGAGGCATTCCGACTGGGGCCAAAGACCTCATTCAGCCAATGCAGCCTCCATAAAGAAGAAGCTCCTTAGGCCGCTCTCTGCAGGTCGCATTCTAGACTCAAGCTCCAATAAATCTGCTCAGTTCACCTATGCCCAACCAAATATTCACTCACGTCAGTCTAGGTGGATCGAGGGATCGCCACCACCATCAGGAAAATGTGCCTCAGTGGAGAACCTTCTAGATGAGCTGGAACAACCTGGCTCCTCCAGAACCTGCAGCACTTCAATACCCCATGCCTTCCATCAGGTATGTTGCATTTATGAATATCAACATAATGTGAGTTTTGTTTATCTACAGGTTCATTTTATAAATGCTGTTTTTTTGTTTGTTAATGTTTGTAACATTATGTATTTATTCTAGGCCCATAGACATTATGAGTCTTCACCTCTGCATGACAAGGACATCTCATAGTAAGCTTTTATTTCTTGAAGAATATGATGTAATATGATAAACTGTTGTTGTTTTTTCTATGTTTGAATCATTCGTCTTGACATTGTTGAGATTAACCTTTATTCTTGTGAATAGATAATTAGTACTAAATTGACTTTAAAATGATAAATGGATATATTTTTCTTTATAAAGTTCTTGATACTGAATTTATTTTGAATAGTCTTCAGGTGTTTTTGAGCCTTTTTTTACATGTAAATTGTGTCTTTAGTGCCCAGATTAAAGTGGAAGGAGAAGCACCCGTTTATAAGCACTATGCAGGATCAGTTCCAGACCAGCGGCGAATGCGAGTTATGGCTCCCAGAGGGAAATCATTAGAGGAACTTGGAGTGTCGGTGGTCATCAGTCCTAGAGCTCTCAGCAAGAGCTCAGAGCAGCTACACCAGCTCCCTGGCAAGCACTCTGGCAGTGATAAAAGAGATCTATTGTTTTTGACTGATAAACACAAACATATCCAAAGAAAACTCAAGCAAGACCATCAGGTTGCCGCTGAACATCAGTCCTCTAAGGAACCCTGCTCATTGGACCACTCATCCACAGAACTCCACTTTAGGGTCAGAGCATGCAATTCCTCCCCTGCCTCCTCTGGATCAGAGTTTTCTGCTCATGTTAATTGTATACCCAGTTGTGATGATAAACCTCCAGTGACTCTGTATGGCGATGGCTGTAATGGTAGAGAAGGCAAAGTCACATCTACAGCTAGTCCTCCTAGAGTAACCAGTGAAGACAACCTGGCTGTCAGGTATTAATTTCTACCTCATTCTCTACAAATCATATTAGGTACTAGGACATGAACAGTAGAAAAATGTTGTTACCATTGTCAGTTTTAAGCGGCTAAAAATCTGGATGATCGATAATGATGGCCAAGATAATATTACGTTTATATTTTACCTTTTATACTCCAATAATTTTAGTAAAACAGTGCTTTGCTGACTGATATGTGTGTCAGTTCTCAACTTTCACACTTTTTAAGCACAGTTAAGTGACAGAAACAATAATATGATAATAATATGTTGTAATCCTAGTATCAAAGCTACACCGAATGCTTTGCACTTTTGGTTTCTGTTTATTACTTCTTATTTTTGTTACTGATCTTCATAAAAAGCTTTTTTATCTTATAACATGTTATGCTCATGCATTTTGTATGTTTTTGTAGTACCGTGATGGTGTTTTGTGTTCAAATGCACCAGTTGAGCCTGTGTTATTATCGTATAGTCAAAAGAGAGTCCCACATATTGAGCTGCCCAGTGGCACAACTGTTTTAAGAAATTGTGAGTTCAACTCCCTGTAATGCCACAACCAATAAAAGGGTAAAAAAGGCTCTAATTATTGCTGTGTTATCAGCAAAATTTCCAGTCAATACCGATAATACAGTAGGTCTAACCTATATATTGGACAGGCCCTAAAGTATACTACAAAGTGTGAATAGTAGCAGCACAGCTTAATGTTTCATCACTGTTTTAACAGTGGTTTTTGTCTTTTAGCAGAATGAAGGCAGTTTTTCAAGAGCAATCTTCAACAAAGGCTGAAGAGTCACCTGGAGATGTGAGTGAGGTGCAGAGATGTAATATTGTCCATGAAGTATCCCTAAGCCTTGGGGTCACAACAGACCCCAGTCTGTGGATTTTGCCACCTGAAATAGATGACAATAGTTCAGATGAAGGTACTCAACATACAGCCACAGGTCAGTCTCAGAACACAACGCCTGCTGAACCAACTGCTTCAGAACCTGACACTGAGTCCAGCTTTGCAGTTGATAGAGATCATGAAACGAAGGAAAAAGAGAAGAAATGTGGACCTCTGGTGGCTGAGAAACCAGAAGAGGACAGTCCAAAGGACCATCCTCGGTGGGAGACGCTGGTTCAGGAAGTGGTCTCAGCAGACCAATCACTAGCCCGCATTTTATATCCTATAACTAATCGGAAAACAGCACTCATGCTAATGGAGCAGTTGTTATCAGAGGACACTCTTCTGATGGAAGAACACTATAAGAAAAAGCAGGAGCAGCAAATTAACAAGCCAGCTACTGACAGGTGACTATAAGACAGTGTCTTGTATATACGTGCTTACTGATATTCTTACGCTTAGTCCTATTATTTCTTGTCATGTTCACATGCATATAAGCATAGATGCCTCTCTATATAAATAAATATAACACTGTGAATAGATTACATACAATGTATAGACCCTGACTTACATTGCCACTTACATCATTGTCTTGTTACTCTTCTTTCAAGCCCTGAGATGACTGATGTTGATAAAGTAAACAACTCATTAGCACCAGATGAAGATGGCACTTCCCTGACTACCCAGGAGCAAAACAGACAGTACAGTGCAGGAGGTGATGTCACAGAGAAGAAGGTACATGTCTCGATGACTGCCTGAAACCTGACTGCTTCACTCTGCTCACTGTTCAGAAGAGGCCTTATATAGCACAGTTTTGTTTAGGCTCATTTTGGGTTGAGTTTAATGCGGCACATACACTACAGTCACATACACTAAACAATTAAATATACTACTGTTTAAATGTTTGTAATTAGAATTCAAAATGTTCTCAGTAATACTAAATACATTTTGCTGTGCACCTTCACAGGCTTTAGATAATTATTAGGAAGTTGTAAAAGCTGTAAACATCAAGAATTAATTCAGAATAAAATAAAATATCCAGAATGCCTCGTATTTCAAAAGTCCTGATTCTATCTTGAGGCAGATAAGTTTAGAATCTGCACGATCTGAATCAGCCAAGATTCGATTTTGATTTTTCCACCAAATTTGCACTTGGCAATCAGCTAGCTTATTATTTATTTTATTGTTTGTTACTCTGTGTTGCAATTTCATGACGTGAATAATGTGAGGCAGGTAGATGTTCTTGCACTGTATTTGAAGGCTGCTGCCACAGCTGTACCAAAATGTTGCAGCATAATTATACATGACTTAATGTGCTAAATAGCTAGTTGCCTCTTACTTTCAATGGAGCGCTTTGATTCATGTTATTTAAATAGACTGATGTTTTATTTATGAATTTAAAATGCCAGTTCGTCTTATCAAAGAGCAAATAATGTTATTTAAACTATATGGCCAAAAGTATGCAGACACCTGACAATCACACATATTTGAGCTTGTTGGACATCTCATTTCAAAACTATGGGCATTAATGTGGGGTTGGTCCTCCTTTTGAAGCTGTAACAGCCTCCACTCTTCTAAAAAGGCTTTACACAAGATTTTGGGGTGTGTCTCTGGGAATTTGTGCCCATATAATCAAGAGTGTTTGTGAGGTCAGACACTGCTCCCAATGCTTATCTGTGAAGATTCCATGGCTACATATTTGATTTTATACATTTGTTAACAGTAGGTGTGGCTGAAACTCCTGAAATCAATAGTTAGGAGGATTGGCCACATATTTTTGGCAATGAAGTATATATTGTGACCAATTATGACTACCACTTATTGTGAACATATTTAATAAAAAAGCCATAAAAATTCATCTCTAAAACTTTTAGAGGTGTCTGATCATTTTGACAGCATTTCTACCTTGTGTAACATTCTTGTCCTATCATGTCTAACACAGAGGCAGCTGATAGCCCGTATAGAGGAGCAGCTGAAGTCTCTGGAGGGTTTGCGGTCCTCACTGCAGAGTGAGGAGAGAGAGAATGAGGGTACGGGGCGACGCCATTGAGGCTCTAGTGCGCGAGTGCTGCATGCCGGCTGAGCTGGAGCGCTACACACAGTTCATCGGAGACCTGGAGCGGGTTGTTAACTTACTGCTGTGCCTCTCTGCGCGTCTGGCACGCGTACAGAATGCCCTCAGCACAGTGGATGAGAACACAGACGCTGAGGAGAAGGTGAGAGTATTTTTATCAAATTTAAAAAATCAAAATTAGAAATAAAAGTAGTTAAAATTATTCTGTTTCTTTGGATAGAATTGTGACGATGTCTTGTTAATTGCTGTGGTTTAAAGTGGCTCTGTTGCTTTATTTTGGCACCTCCAGTCTGTTTGTACACTATGTTCAAAAGTTTGGAATCACAGTTCAGACGTTTGGAATCAATGGGCCTCATTCACTAACCGTTCGTAAGAGAAATTTCTTCTTAAAACCCACTTACGCAGTTTTCACAGAGATTCTGACATTCACCAGTGTTTCCTTATTTGTTATTTGTTCTTAGGTAAGAACAGAATCTACACAGACCCAAGAGCACAAAGGTGCGGACAGTTCTGCGGTTTAGAACACGTCATGAATCTGACAGTAGGCTATTTCTTAGGACCTTTCTGAAGAAAAAAATTAAGAAAAAACTTAAGAAGATACTGCTGAATGAGGCCCATTTTCTCAGTAGTATAAAGGCAAATTAGTAGCAGATTTCTGCTCTGCTGTGATCTGATTCTAACATGCTAATACTGTGCATCATGACAGGTTTCAAATAATCTGTGAAATTTTTCAACAGTAATATATGATTATTGAAGTTTTATGTGTCCAAAAATAAGAATGGAGCTGTAGTAGATTTTTAAATGAGCAGTGATGATTCTGATATTATAGAGAAAGCTGTCACACATTAAGAATATAGTAAAGGCTATAATAAAATTAACATCCAAAATGCTTTAAAATGATTTGGAATGGAATCTTTATTTGAAGTGAAGGTTCTTTAAATCTTCTAAAATGTTCCTCACACTCTTGCAGCTCTTTTTCAAACATTGTTCTCTAGGGAACCAAAAGTGGTTCCTCTATGGCATCACTAAAAGAACCCTTCAAGAGCCGAATTTAAAAAAGACAGATAATTTGGGTTTTATTTATGGTTTAATAACTTGTTATTATCCCGCTATACCAAATACCATTTGTCTAGTTTCTAATATTTAAGTCTCCATTGCATGACTTATATTTTATATATAAAATTTTTAATATGACTATTTTGAGCCCATGAACAGTAGTGTATGTTGTGCATTATCGTCTACTTAATGTATTGCCTTGGGTGTTTTCTGTTTTTTCAAAGCAGCTGTATATCAGCTTATCAGTCTTCTCACCACCTAATTATTTGAATTAGGTGTGCCATGGGCTTGGTTTAAGAAACAGTCAGCAGTAGATAGAGAGAAGTTTTTTACATGGTGAAATCAAATGGGCCTAAATGTGCCTAAAAATTAACATGAATTTCATGAGTATGTGAGTTCCTCTGATCAGCCATTGCGCTTTTCAGCCAGGTCATGTATAAAAGTGAAAGGTTTGCCTCTGTACTCTGAGCTCTGCTGCTTTAATCAGCAGTTCCTGGTAGCGTATCACCGAAACTGCCCTTTAGTTTCGATGGATTTTGCATCTGCACTGCCCTCTGGTGACAAATATTTGAGCACCTCTGTCCTTTTACATTCTGCAAATATTAGAGGATGACACTGTGTGGGGTGTGTCAAAGCCTTCACAAACCTCATGTCTTTGTTTTCTGGATTGGTAATATTGACTTAAGGCAGTTGATAATTGAGGCACATGTACAGTGTACATAAGAGTAAGGGCATAATAATTGCACAACATACAGTACCTGACAATTCAGTCTAAAACTGTTTTAACCATAAACATTTAACAACACTTACCAGATATCACAGTCAAGAAGCAGCTGGCAGGTTATTATATGATTATATGACTGATATTTAAGATATAATTGACTGATTTTTGCTAACTTTAATGCTATTTCTGAACTGGCACCTGTCATTGTACTTTTTGCACTAGTGCTGGGCAATATATGGTCTATACCAGTATCTATTTTGGTTTTGGTTTCATAAAATAGTATTCATTTCTAGTATCTGCACAATGGATAGAAAATGAACATTACCTTCATAGCTTTCTGCTCCATAAAATAACACTGTCTGTACTGCTATGTAGGTATAAATACACAAGCATATATTCAAATAGGGGTGGGCAATATAATGATATGGTATGGTGATACGTTATGTCACAGTACTTCTTAGTATATCATTAGTATGTGGAACACTGAATAATTTCATGTAAAAGATATTTCTTTTTGCAAACAATTAATTAAACCAGCATAGTTGTATTGATAGCGTTTTATAGCCTTTTTTAAATGTGGTCCTACTATTTTGCTGGCCCATTTATCCAACTTGTTTGCACACCTCAGAAAAACTAAATTGTATAGTACATAAACGGCGTCCTTTACACCACTCTAGCCAATGCTTTCATTATTTATAGTGATTTTAGGCTTGTTTGCAGCTGCTTGGCCATGAAAACCTGTTTTATAAAACTCCTGACAGTCCGTTCTTGTGCTGATGTTGCTTTCAGAGGCAGTTTGGAACTCTAGCATGTGATGCAATGAGAATAGGCGATTTTTTTGTTTCAGCACTTGGCGGCCCCGCTCTGTCAGTTTGTGTGGTCTTCTGCTTCCTGCCTGAGCTGCTGTTGCTCCTGGGCACTTCCATTTCACAATAGGAGGACTTACAGTCCTTAACAAACTCATAATTCAAAGGATCCAGTGATATTTGGGGAAAATGTGCACAGATCAAAACATACTGAAATATACCATTCATTTTTCTCATTGAGAGACCTGATTCTCATTTTAGACCTGGATTTCCTTATTTGGGCATAATGCATGTCTTCAGTGGTTCTCAATCTGGTCCTCAGGGACTCCCAGAGGTCCACATTTTTGCTCAATCTCTGTGTGTTGCAAGTTGGGATGGAGCAAAAATGTGGACCGTCTTAGGGTTCCCTGAGGACCGGTTTGAGAACCACTGGTCTATGTCAGTGTCAGAGATAAGTGAAGTCTTATCTTAAGATTGATTAAAATGGTAATAGTTCAAAAAGTGTATTCTTGACTGTAAGTCTCAGCTCTTTCATTCTCTTCTATAACAGCAATCACTGGACAACAGACATGACCTCCTGTGCAAACAGAGGGAGGACGCCAAGGACCTGAAGGATAATCTGGACCGGCGGGAGCGCATGGTGTCCACCTTCCTTGCCAAGCAACTGACGGACGCCCAGCTGCAGGAGTATCGATGCTTCGTCCAAACGAAGGCCTCGCTGCTCATCCGCCAGAAAGACCTGGATGAGAAACAGCGGCTGGGGGAAGAACAGCTGGAGGCACTGCTCAACAGTATTCCTCCATGAAAGGTTTCACGTTTTTTCGCACGTCTCTTCTGCCTCTAAGTATTCTCAGCCAGCGATCCCCAGCTAGCAGAAAACTATTTGCTGCTGAGACTGCTTAGGACTTCACGCTGTTGGAGTGGACTAGTTAGACTTGCTTTGCCAATTCAGTGGCAGTAAGAGACCTATCCCAATTTGTTTGTTTTTTTTTCGTTCATTGTATTACTATTTTATGTTGTACTACTTGGGCTTTAGGTGCTCGCTTCACATCTCAGCAGTCCGTCTTTGAAAACTATGAAAAGCTTTAAGTTGGGGACAATGGGTAGAAAGGGTGGAAATGATAAGGAACACACTCGCTGATGCCTTTTTTCTTTTGTAGCGCTTAATTTATTTTTTACTCATAAGGCACTCTAAATGAAGACCAAAAAAAGGTAAATAAATAAGAGAGAAAAAAGCACTTTGATAATGTAACTGCACGTACATTTCTAACCTTATTAAAACACTGGTATTACGGTTATTTTAGAAGCATTATTGCAACCCTTTATATATTTATTTGTATCGATATTGAGTCTTAATTGTTTTTATTGACATTTTAAAGCTGCGTGCATGGATTTAGTCGTCCTGTGTCCTGTAATTTCACTGGGTGGTAATCATGTTCCTTTGTACTGGATATAGAAACTGTACAGATCAAAATGACATTCTGAAGATTTTCGTCATGGTATCTATCCCAAATTACCTGCTGTCCCTGACTGTTGAGTAGTTCCTAATTTTAAAGGCTGTCATATAAAAAAATACATCATTTGAAAATGACAGCTGCATTGTACATTTTGTGAACATTTCACAATGAATGGACCAACAGAAATGGTGCACAAATGACTTGGAGTAAATTTCGTTAACATACATTAAAATATTTTTCTTCTATAAAGTTATCAGTCCATACAAGGTTTTGTTATGACAGTGCTGATCAGTTGATACTATTGAAGTCATTTGCTATGAGAAAATCAAAGGAGCGTTAAGCTTCTAATGGGACCTCTATAAAAATGTGTATATATATATATTATATATATATATATATTTATATATATATATACAAATAAGATGTGGGCCTACTAGAGATGGCACCATACCACTCTCCGATACCGATATTAAAACCTTAAGTGTCAGTCAATACCAATATTTTTAAAACTACAAAGCTTTAAAATGAGCTATTTGATTTGAGGCACTTCAGTTAAGATCTAAAAGTAGGCTATCATGCTCAACTTATTTAAGCACTCTACTTCCCCCAGGAAGATGTACATAGCTAACAACATCGCATCGTACAATGCGAATCTGTGGTATTTCAGAGTAGATTTGGTATAGGATTGGATCGGAATGACTACGTTTTTCCCCTCTTAAGCTGGTATAGACCTAATATAGATACCTGGTATCAGATCAGTGCCATCTCTAGGGACCACACAGTCACTAGACGTGAATGCTCATGCTAACCCGTTGAGCAGGGGGAAATGCTTTCCTTGTCTGTCGTTCTCAGGTCAAACATGCAGCTTCCTTACCATTCTAATACAACAACAAACCATCTGGCCATCAATGTCACTGAGAGCTGTGAGCAAGAGCCAGTGAAAGAAGATTGAAGACCCAAACATGAAAACTCCTTTTTACTCCTTTAACAGCCAATATACGTAACATTTTGTGACTGTTTTTGCATCTCTGTGATGCTAATTAATCAATTTGCTCAGTCGTTCAGGACGTAATCATGATTTGTTTTTGTGGTCCAGTTGCTGCACCTGTTTCGGTGCTTCAGTTTGTAATGGGGTTTAATGAAAGAGGAAAAAACCTGTTGAAAGATCTACATTGCTACACTTCATTAAAAGCACCCAATGACTTGATGTCGTTGTTGGTAATGCAAACAGAATTCCCCTCATTGTAAATGAACATGTTTCCACACTTATGAGTCCAATAAGTGACACTTTGTTTAGCAATCAATACTCAGTTACTGTCTCAGCCAACGCAAACATGTGCAACTATGAAGTGCTTAGAAGAGCTTGATCCCTCTTTAGTTGTTCACCATTACATATAGATTATTGCATATTTTGGGTGCTTTGCTGACCAAAGTCTTGACCCAAACTTGGCTATAACGAGTAACGACACCACTATGGTGAATGAACAATTTTCTATGTAAGTCCAAATTTGTGAGTTAATCTCTGATCATCTCCTGACATTGTTTAGTAACAGAGTTGGTCTGAATGCCTCTACACATTTTTTTCAGCACATTTCTGCTGGGGATTTATAGCCATTTGGCATTTTCGGCAGACAAACAAATGGATGTTTGTTTTGGCTTTTGTACAGAGGGTGGCCCCCAAAGCTTAAGCGAGCCTGTTCTCTTGTGGGCCCGTGTTTATTCGGCTGCGAGGAATTCCAGAGGCATGCGAAAGACCACTAGTGTTTTCCACACAAACACGACAGCCCACCAGCAACAAGGCGGCACATTCTTTTCTTTAAGAATCCCTGGATGAGTCTCTGGTCATGTACACTGCCTGTCAAAAGTTTTGGAACACCTAGCTTTCCAAACATCTTCAAAAATAACACGTTACAAACAGCTTTCTGTTTAGTAACACATTTTATATGCTTGTTTTAGGTGTTTAAACCACCTGTGCCTTTTCAGTATGCCATAACGTGTTATCCTTTCATACCATGATGTGGGTCTCTGAGCTGGCTGAGCATATTCACTTGATACGTAGGGGAGAGGTGGGGGTGAAACATGATATTACCATGATAACATTGAATTCATGTTGACTTTGACAGTAGTGTGGAAAAGTGTCAAATCATTGTTTTGGCAAAACCTGCTCTTCATACCAAGTAAACGCTTTGATGAACAAGTGTGGCAAATAGGTGTTTATATTAAAGAATGCCACCAAAATGTCTGTGTAACTGAATGGTTAAAATGTTAACAAAGCAGTTCAGAGTGGTTTGATGTGAAGTGCTCTGTTCTAGAGAAACTTCAGAATTGTTCACAGTGGTGTGATAGGAACCAGACGTTTGAAATGGGTAATGCTTCTATAAGCTCCCTAACAGAAATCTGTTACATGAAATGGTTACGAATGTGTTGCCTGATGTCAGAGACATTGTTTTCTGATACTTTTGAGAGAAGGTTTAGGCCTCAACCGTTATTTTTTCACTATAATTATCAACATTACATATAAAAACCCACTTGAGACATGTAGTACCAGTGAATTACAGAGAGATTTTAAAAAATATTACAGAAAACTTGCAGGTATGTAACTAACAAGTAACAGTGAAAACCAAACATCTCTCTGAAAACATCTAAAGGTGTTCCCAGCTTTTGACAGGCATTGTCTATAGATGGGTGTTGTGTACCACATCCTTCTTTTCTCATCTGCCATTTAGTAGTGGTTTAGGCTTTGGTTTTGCTTCACAATTCAGCTCTGTGGGCAGACCTCAGCCAGCCAGGAGTTGTGCAACCCAGCTGGAGGCAGATTGTGTAACAGAGGAGGGGAGTGAGTGTATATTTGCGGCTTGGATCCCATTAATCTTCTTGAATGGGTGTTAATATGTTGTAGTGTGTCATTGTGTGCTTCAAGTATCCAGATGTTGTGTTTTGTGCTCTTTCCTCATCAAAGCACTTCAACAAATTGTTTGTAAAATGGACCATATGAATTCCACTGCTTTTGTTATGTGAATAAATGACATTGTCTCCTTGACTGCTCAACGTGTGATATTCAACTTTACTAAAGTTTACTTTAGTTTTGAACTGGAGCTATGAGGCTAATGTAGCTAACGTGTTATGAAAGCTCACAAGGCACCGATTAGCTGCAACTATATAGTTTATGTAGTAGCAGCCATCTTTAAGCCACAGTGACTACACTGTGTAAGTACTGTGTATTTCACTGCCCACTAGTGCACAGTGATGCAATCAAAACTCAGATGTTTCAAAAGCAAGCAAAAGTAATTTTATTTTGGTGGAAGAGTACAGAAAAACAAGAATTCAAGAAGTCAACCAATCAAATTTGACCTTTTTTTTACCTTGTTAACAAATGTAAAATTTTATATTAAGCACAATTCATGATATCATGTCTTGTATTTAGAAGACAAAATTGTTATTTCTCTGTAATCATTAATTAAACCGTAATGACTTTAAAGACAGTCATTTCGTTACATTACTGTGCACCATCATGCTTCCCCTCCCCCTTATCCTCCAGCACCTCCTGTGCTACCACGATGTCATCCCCCTCCTCCAGTGTCAGTGCTGAGGGTGTGCAGGAGCCTAAATATCCTGTTTTACCCAGAAATGCATCACATTAAGAAAGAAAAATACATGCTAGTGTTGCCCCTATCATTGGGAAACCAAAAGAGTGATCCATTGCGATGCCATAGCCATTCATGGCTAGGGAGTCCAAGAAACCATTATTGGCCTTGCTCTCTGGGTGGATAGGATGGTCCTCCATCCATCACTCAGTACTGTATTTGTTACCAGTGTTAACAGCAAGCACGCTGAGCTGTCCAGTGATGTTGCATCAGCAGCAGTTCAAAAAGATGCAGTGGCTGGTTTCACCTAACTCAGAGTAAGCATGTGCTAGCCTTCACCCTCCAAGTGTTGGCAGTATCATGTGATGGGGCAGAGGTCTCCAACTATGGTCCTGGAGAGCTGTCATCCTGCAGAGTTGAGTTTTCAGCTGTATCCAATAAGCTGCCCCATCCCTTACTTAACTCAGATACATCTGATTCTGCCAATCAGGGACTTGGGAAGAGGTTGATCAAATTGTGGTTGAAACTAGGCTCTGCAGGAAGGTAGCTCTCCAGAACCATGGTTGGAGACCGCTGTGATTGGGGGCTCGGGGTGTGTGACTAAATTGGAGAGAGAATTCAAAATCAGAATCAAATCAGAATGGACCTTTTCACTTTATTGATTTATGTTCCTGGTAATATTAAGCATAATTTATCACATGGGAGACCACAAGTTTGATCCATGATGATGCCACAGCCATCTATGTCTGGGAGTGTAACATATTAAAACAAACCTCTTCTTGTATCTTTAGTCAAAGTGTAGCAACTTTTGGCTGCCTTAATAACCTTTTGTGACTTTTTGTTTCATCACCATACGTAATTACAATACTAACCAATAATATCATGTTTCATGTCCGGTCTCACCACCCCCATCTATCATCAAGAGAGAATGAGAAAGAGACCCTCCGTGGTACCATGTTTTACTTGGAAGCAGGAAATACATCACAGTACAAAATGAAAATACATCATGATGTCTGATGACTTTAAATATGATAAGTCATGCTTAACATGACCAGATACATAAATTAACACAGTAAAAAAGGTCAGTTTTGATTTTGAAAGACTTTTTTTTTTTTTGCTGCAATCCTGCACTTTTTGCCCCTCTCTTAAACATCATCTGAGTTTATTTACATCACTGTGCAAAAGTGGGTGCGGACAAATCATATTAACCACATTATCATCACCTCCCCCTCCCACCACTTCCTCACTAGGAAAAATAAGCCAATTTTGATTTGAGGTTGATTTCAATTTGAGGCAACTGTGTGATAATCTAGGCGTGCAGTTTGCACCATGCTAATTGGTACGCTACCATGATTTGTTTGCTAAGCCTGCAAGAAGCACACTTTGGACATCATACATGTCTTGGCTGACCAACTACATCTGTGAAAAATTGTGCAAAATTGATTTTTCACATAGTCATTACTTGTATTTCTCCCCAGCTGTGACTGTAATACAGTAGCTGTCCTATAAAAAAATGTAACATTATGTTACTCATGCATGAGCGCGTGCCTGCACTACTAGCCTTGCTTGTCTCCTAATGAATACAGCACGGAGGAATATTTGCTCGGTCTGGGGGGCTGAGAACAGGCCGCTCTTTAGCTGGAAGGGATATGACATCATGGAAGCGGTCTGGTCTCTTCTCATAACGTCAGCCTAGAGGGCTCAAGCTGACTGCACCAAAAGCTCTTACAGATGCTGCTGTTCTGTAGGCACTCGCACACAAGACCAGTGTCCTCTTTCCCAACATTACAGCTCAGTCACTGTAGCAGAGCTGCAAAACTGGCCTCAGATTAGCAGCAAAAAGCCATGCCAAGTTCACATGTCTTTGAGGCCTGACCACATCTGCTCAGCTGAGCTTGAATTGGTTCCCACAACTAAATGAAGAAATACCCTGAAAAGAAAGGCTGCTCACTGCAACACGCTGCTTCTCGGGCAGAGTTTATGCTAGATTCTGCAAAAGGGTGTGCGGATCGATACGGAATCAATACAGAAACGTTGACACTTCCGATCCTGAGAGTATCTTTTTTACAATCGATCCTCACAAGATAATATTGATACTAGGTGTTTTCTTTTAGCAGTAAATTGAATATACATCAGTGTGATTAAACTGATGGTGAATAAGTGAATAGAATGATCATAGCATGAAATGTGTAGGAACTACTTTTCTTTATGCCCGCTCTCTGCTTCACACACACACAGGCACAAACAGCCACAGGAAGTGCAGTAAGTACTCTATAATGGCAGATCATTTGGAGTTATTACCCTAAACAGACAGTTTATCCAGCAGTTTATTAATACTAATGCAATGTTGTTTTTAAATATAATTTTAATGTCCACCTTTTACTGGTTTTCAGTGTTGAAAATACAAAGAATTTCCTCTATTTGGTGTAAGTATTGGCCTTTGTATGGTAAAAGAAAAGCGGGATCACTAGAGATGTTATAAAGGAGGAGACAGCTCATGGTTGGAAAATGAATGGGAAAGTTGTGACGCTCAACATGGTGTCTGTTAACTGTAACCCTAAACCTACCCCTACCCCTTTTTAGCCCTTCTGTAAAAAGAGACAATCATCTTGCTGGATAAGCTACAAGCAGGGAAAGTGTCCCCTCGTTGTGGAGAGATGTACATAATTGAGCTGGTTGCATTGTGCATTATTTGAGTAAACCGTACAAACTATTTATGCTGTTTTTGTCAGATTTTACCAGTCATTTCAAATGTTTCTGAGATTTGGCACTCAGTTTAGGTCTCTTCCAATTCAAAGAGACTAAAGTCTGAGTGGAAAAAACTGCCAAGATGGCGGGGTAGACATACATTCTTATAAGGGCTTTGGTCTCGCCCATCCCTGCTCCATAGAACCAGCCCAATCTTGGACAATATGATCCAGGAGTGGAGAACTGAGGACCAGAGTCCAGCACAATTTGATGTTTGCCCTGCTACAATACTCTAACTCATTAACCAATGAGTTTAATCAGGTGTTTGTAGCAGGAAACCACAATCTAGCCCTCCAGGACCAGAGTTCCCCACCCTTCATATAGAATTTCCTGACTTTTCAATCTTTTTAAAAGTTTTACTAAAGAGTCAGTTCAGCTAAGAGACTGGTCTGATGGTTGTTGCTGCAACATCTACTTCATGAGTCCATCCATCAGAAGCTCATCTGCACAATGATTTCATAGGGAAGACAGTCTAGACTGTACATCTAGCATATTTGAATATTTATGCAAAGTGTAAAACATAATGTAAACATTTTGTTTTGTTTACTTGAACCTGTTGTTCACTGAGGTCCTCAAGGAGCATTAATTTCATGCCACTATGTACTGATATACGAGTGAAACGACAATAAGTTCTTCTTGACTCTTATAACAGGTGCAGATCATGAGACAGAGACTAGCAGAGATGGTGTTTATGCAGTCACTGTCCACTTTATTAGAAATGCTTCCAATCTTAAGAAATCTTCTACCTCTCACTGGCCACTTTATGAGCTCAAACAGGTTGGTGTATAATTACAGTCTGTGGCCCATCTGTTGATGCACAATATGACAGCCCATTCATCATTGGTCAGTTTCTGACCACTGGACTGACCAGATATTATTTGGGTGGTGGATGATTTGGTAACACTTTACTTGAACGCTGCTACATAACACAAGCATAACCATGCCATAAGCATGACATAGCAGATGTCATACTGTCATGAGTTGTCATGAATTATGTTCTTACGCTGTCATGAACATAGTAAGAACATAATCTGCTATGTCATGCTTATGGCATGGTTATGCCATTGTCATGAAAGAGGTCATAATGATTGATGTCTTAATGGCTGACCAGAGGACAATTGACAAAAAAATATAAAAAAAAAGCACATAGCGTACGTCGTCATGACATTAAACATTATGACCTCTGTCATGATGTTTACCAGTGATGGTAACAATACACTGTAACATTATTGCACATAATCTGTCATGACAACTCATGACACCATATGACATCTGCCCTGACATGTTTATAGAAGAGTTATGTCAATGTCATGAAGCAGGGTTCAAGTACAGCGTTACCACCCAAATTTACCTGGTCAGCACTGGTCCTGTCTTTAGTAACTGACCAATCATGAACAGGGTATCAGATACAACAGTGTTGCTGGGGTTTTTTTTACACAAAACCAGGTCCTTGCTAAGTCGAGGGTGGTTTACCGCTCGAAAACACCCAGCCAAGAGTGGCTCTGTGGTCAAACTGACCGCTGATGAACAGATATAGGATGGTTAACACAAACTGTGCAACAACAGATGGAACAAATGCCAGCAAACAAGTGTTTCCAATAAAGTGACCACTGACTGTACAGTCTGTTTTACAGAAAACTGATTATTGCACATGCGGTCAAACAGTAACGTTCTATAAAACAAGAAAATTTGACGGGATTGCTCATAATGTGTCAGAGCAAATGCGCCCTCAATGTATTTGTACCTTAAAGCATCTCAGAGGATATTTTAATTTCCCTTATTCTTAAACATTTGTAATGATTAGAGGTGGGTAGAGTAGCCTAAACCAATACTCGTGTAAAATGACTGATACTTGGGTAAAATAATAACTCAAGAAAATGTAAAAATACCATCCCAAAAACCAACTTCAGTGGAAGTACAAAAGTATCAGGTCAAAAAACTGCTTGAGTACTGAGTAACTTACAGATCTGCAGTGGAACGCCTTAGCAAATTCAGCATCTATCAGCATAGGAACTAAAGACTATATTCTTTCTTGTTTGGGATTCTTTTGGCCTAAAATGAAAAGCTGAAGTTCCAAAGATTTGTCCGATCACAAAGTAGTACAGATGTTGCATGATCAAATTAAACACAAAAAAAGAAATTAGTAACTAAATATGAATGGCTAAAATGTAACACAGTAAAAGGTACCCTTACTCACTATTATACTTGAGTAGAAGTAAAAGTATTATGATTTGAAAATACCCAGGAGAGTACAAAGTCCTTATGGGAAAGTCTGTCCACTTGGTGGCCATCTTGGCAACACCACTGGGCAGTTATTTCCAGTCATACAAGACCAGACTCCTATCTCTTCGAAAACACCTAAAAATCTGAAACTGAAGGCCAAATTACTGTACAAAACCATATTTGAGATGACTAGTAAAATGACAAATAACTTTTTTGGGCTGTTCTGGCTGCTGCGCTTGCAGAGATCTCCACTACTGAGGGGAGTTTCCCTGCTTGCAAGCTGTCTGGTTCTTTTTATTGAAGGGTGGGACTTTCTCAATACACAGATCTAATGTTAAGTGTTATGAGCTTTCACATTTGTTGTTCAACCACTGACCTGTGTCCTCCTTTATAATGTCTCTGGTACAAATCTATCAATATTTTATTTAACTACATGCACTTGAATCAATGTAACTACCCAGCTCTGGTAATGAAATTCTTCTAGAGTTAGTATGAATCTGCACTGTTGTCTCTTATTGTACAGCATTTATACAAATTGTATTATATACAGAATAATTTTCAGTTACATATAAATCAAATTTAACAGAGCATTATTTTTACTTAGCAAAAATATCAGGAATTAGTATATTTACACTGAAGAATAATCAGTCGTGATACCTGTACTGATTTTTAAGCATGAATTTGTTTAATCATTTAATCCTTAAATGATTTTTGAAAACAGTTCGATAAAATTTGAGCTAAAATCATCATGCTGCATAATCTGCATCAAGATCAAACTTCAGTTTAAAGGTCTGAATTTAAAAAGCAGATTTTTGAGAACATTACATTGTTTACAAATCTGCAAAACACTGATTTGAGGTGCTGATGAAGGAACGGATATTTGACAACTCAAACTGCAAGCCAGCTCAGTTCCTCACTCTAATGACTAGGGCAGGATACCATTCAAAAATAACCAAATGATTAACACCCATACCAATGTGGATATTTTGACTTTGATACAAAGTGCTGAATGACACTTTTTTCAATACATTTTTTAAATAAAAATTTCAAAGTGGAAATGCAAATCAAATTTATATCGTAGTGAAATTTGAGATTTCATGAACGACCGAAGTCGATTTGTTGTGACACAAAATAATTCACAGCGCTTAGTGAATAATAGGTCTTCAAATTGATAACTGAATACTGCAGTTATTACTGCAGTTTATATGGTTAACTCCATGAACTCTGGGCTTAGTGTTCTCTTATTCATCCAAAATCTTATTATTCAGTAACTATTCAGTATCTAATACAAACCTAACATATCAGTTATGTAGTTATGACAGTGAGGGATTGAAGTGTGAACCCACATACAGGCCTTTAGAGTTTAAAGAGGAATTCCACCAATTTCTAAAAAATTCTGCTATTGAGATGTAAACCAAGTCATTCAAAGTGGTTTAATGTAAAATGATGGAGAAAATTGTGGAGAAAGGCTCGTACAGTGGTGGTGATAGGAACCAGGGGTCACAATGTCTACAACACAAATATAGCCATTTTATTTACTATCCAAAACCACCAGTGGACCTACACACGTCTTCTGAGTTTCTATATGTAATTATGATATGATAAAATAGTCAGAAACCTGAAAATAATATGTTTTGGGGACTATTGTGCCTCACAACGCCTGCATGTCTCCACAATGACTTCTATTTTTGAGAGGGAGCTTTTGGAGGCATTAAACTCTTCAAACGTCTGGTTCCTATCACTACCAGGTTGGAAAATGTCCATGTAAAAATGTAATATGACCATTTTTGGTATATAATCCCACACAAATGATATAAAAGTCGACCTCAAGGGATAAAATAACATACAAGAAAAATGTGTACAGGCCCTTGAAGACTGAATTACGGAGAAATTTTGAAAAATAGGTGGAATTCCATTACAAGGGGTTAATGTTGTTTTAATTTAGCATAAGTAATGCTTAGGAAAACACGTCAGACAGAACCCTGTGCATGGGTGAAGGGTGCTCATCCCTCTCGTCCCTCCCTTCCTCAGCCACAGACAGGAAGGAGCCCCTGACCTTGGGCTTCTTCTTGTACCCGATTGTATGAGGCTGGAAGAGTCTGCTGATGGTGTGGGAGTGTCTGTGCGCCTCAGGCTCCTCAGCGCTCTTCTGCGGCTCTGGGCCTTGAACTTTGACCTTCGGTGCTCCGAGGAGCTCCCGCAGCTTTGTGGATACACCCTTGTGCAGGTAGTGGTGCGGCTTCTTGCCGCAGTTGTCCCGGACATTAGGATCCGCTCCATAGTGCTGTACCAGGAGGTTCATGATGTACTCCTGATCATGCAGGGCAGCAATGTGCAGCGGTGTGTAACCAGCAAAAGATTTGCCATTCACATCCACCCCCTTGCCCTTCTCTTTGGACAGCTCGATCAGTTTACATACCATGTCGCTGTTGCCGCACTTGGCCGCCCAGTGAAGGGCCGTGAAGCCGGACACGAAGTCCCTCTTCTCCGCCAGCTGAGTGTCATTGAGCAGGTGGCCATACAGCAGACCTGTGAGAATGATCAGAACATAAATGCTTTTGTCAAATGTACTTAAAGAGCTCCTCTGCCAGTTTTTGGAAATCAATAATATATGACCCCTTCTGAAAGCACTGACACTGGCCCACATTTATCAAGCATCTCAGAGAAAGAGCACTGATCTAAGACCAGGTCTCATCAGGTCATGGAATCTTAGATAAAAAGCACAAGCTGATCATAGATCAGTATTATTACTCCAAGAAGCTTGATAAACGTGGGCCACGATTTGTACTTGTAGTTACCACTTAATTCAGGCAAGCTGTGCCATCTGGTTGAAAATTGAAGACTAATATAAATGAATCAGTAACTACTATGGAATAATATGTATATTATGCAGTTTAAAGAATGAGGAGGAGACGTGTAGGCCCTTCGGATTTAAGGGGTTAAAACAAGATGTCATGCGGACAAACAATTAATTTGGTTTGTCAGACAAAAGTGGTGCCCTTAGTTTTTGATTTGAGATTATATTACCCAACAAAATCCAGCCACTGTACAGAATATAGAGGTGAGGAGAATATAGTGGTGCCTGTTTGATATATACAGTGATCATAGGCATGTAAATCAGACAAAAGGTAGAAAGTCAGGACGCCTTTTTTTGTACAGACCCCAGTGTCCCACTGCGGACGACACCAGCCACTCATGCTCTGTGGTTTCTAGTGGGAATGTGTCGCCGTATTTGGGCTCATCGACCGGCCTCATGCTCTTGCAGTGTCTCCTGGTTTGTGGTGAACTGGCGCCTGCCATACTGTCTGTAGACGGCCTCCTCTTATATCTGGGTGAACTAGGAGGCTCCAGCATTGACCTTGGTGGTGCCAAATGCTCTTTGGGGGCATTCACTTCAGGACAAGCAGTGATGACCACTGGAGGCATTCTTAACGGCAGTGCAAACGGCTTGCTGGTGCTTGCCTGGCTGGGTCTAAGCTGCTGGGTGTCATCTGCGCTCAACTTGAGCGGAACCACGAACTGTAAGGACCTCTTGGCTTTGACGTCCACAGACTTGATCCTTTCGAAGGCCAGCTCTATGGGAGAGCGTGGCTGGCTGGTGTTTGGGGAGTCACCTTCCTTATCTGGCTGAACTTGCTCTTCTGGCTTGTTCGGGCCGGGTGCCTTAGCTTCTTCACCTTCAGCATGACTGTCCTCCCTGTTTTCCTCTCCTGCTGGGTGTTGTCCTGGTTTATCCAGTTGACCTTCCTCACTCTCCCTTTTCTGAGCACTGCCATCACCGGGTTGCGTCAGTAAATGGTGATATTTCTTCTTCAGGACGATGTACTTGACCTCTTCAAACTCTTTCACCACGGCAACGTTGTTGACGAAAGTCTTGAAGAGGTCTCGGTTCTGTTTCTTCTCCGCCGGATCACTGCAGTTTAGCTGAGTTTTGAACTGAGCCAGTAACTCCGAGTTCTTCACCTGTCCGCCTTCTTCTATCAGCGCCCTCAGTATCGCCTCCTCAGAGATCTCCATTTTACACACGGACGGCTAAAAAACATGAAGGAACTGCTCTGTTTTCTTCCTCGAATCCTCCCCGTTTTTCGACTGCACCTGAAGCCGTCACCTGCGGCCGCCAGTTCCGGGTGAACTGTACACGTAGACGTCATTTGAATAATGTATGCAGGCGGAGGAGCCGAAACCTGAGGCTCTGAATCACCTCAGACTCAGAACACAGGCTTAACGTAGCGCGTTCAAGACCTGCAGCGGTGTTCATTACTCATTCATAACTTCAATAGTCATTCATAGCTCCCATATTAATAGATCTGGTGGTTGTTTTCATTTTTTTTGGCGACGAACGGCGCTAAAGTCAGAACTTTATAATTAAATGACCTGTGATAGGCTATTAATAGCCTTAATAAAAACAACACTACACTCAAAAAATAACTTGTTGTATGAACTTAATTCAATTATGCCACACATTTTCATTCAATCAAGCCAGCATACATGACTTAGTTACCTCAACATAAAATTCAACTGTTGATTAAACGAAATTAAAACATTTCAGTGCAGTTTATTTCAGTTTCCTTGCACTTTCATTACTTTCATGCACTTTCATTAATTTTTGTCCATTTTACATAAAAAGGTTACTTAAAGTTGTTTAAATATTGACGTGTTTTCAGTTTGTAAGTCCAACAACCATGTTGGTTCCGTTTTTGAGTGAATAATAATAATAATAATAATAATAATAATAATAATAATAATAATAACAACAGAGGTCTTGATATTGGCTGTGCATACATATGCACTGCCGTTCAAATGTCTGGAATCACGTGTAATATTAATAATTATTTTTGCAATAACAACGTGCACAATGTAGATTGAAATGTTATAGCCTAAACATACCAAAACTCTTTATTTACAGTTCAAACATTTTGGGAACAACAAGAAGTTATGCCTGACCCGGCAATCAATCAATCAATCAAATAAATAAATAAAAGGCAAATATTGTCATATAATAAACTGTAATTACATATTTATAGTTGTTAGTTGTCAGCTTGGTCACTGCTTTTCGAATATGAACTATTTTAAGTGAATATGAGTCATTATGGGATCATGTACCGCTCCGCTCATCATCGAGCATGTCTTCATTTTTACAGCTTCCTACAAACTGTTTGAAATCTGTAGACATAGAGTCATTTAATACACGTATAACATAGATCTTCAGCAACGCTGTTTTTATCCTATTGAAAATCAAGTGGTTCCAAAATGATTATTAAGACACATATTAGACCACAGCCTAACATTCATATTGCTGTATAAACACTTTATATTTTAATAATCTACTTTAATAATCTACTGTATTGTCGCTTTTTATAACATTCCTGTAGTACCGCCGTATATAAACTGTAACACTGTGCAGTATTCTGCAGTGAGCTGTAGCAGCTGTGGGAATTTACAACGAGACTCTCACAGGAAATGCCTGTGGTGTTACTGTAGATGTGTTTTTGTAAGGGTTTTGTGTTATAAAAATACAGAATATTTTTTCTTGGGCCGTATTGGACTATATATCGTTTAGGAATAATAATAATTCATCAGCACACCATCCCAACTCTGAAGTGTAGCTGGATAAACTTCTTTTTCCACGCCCGCGGTTTAAAACTACAACTCCCGTCGACCCCGGCGCTGCAGGACTCGGGGCTCGTCGTTTGGCGCAGCAGGGCAGTTAAGGGCGTCAGAAAGCCGGAGTGACGGTTGAATATGATAGTGTTGTGTGTGTGTTTGAGGTTTGTTTTTGTGTTTGTTTCTTAGAGAGTCTTCTTTTGTGAGAGAATGACACTCCTGAGCCCAGTGGGAGTTTCCAGGAAGGAGCCATATTGAAGGAGCTGAGCTGCACTGGGTCGGTTCAGCGTTACAGAGAGAGAGAGACATAGAAAGAGAGTGGGAGAGAGTGAGTTTGTGTGTGAGAGAGAGAGAGAGAGAGAGAGAGGGAGACGAGGGCAGCACCCAGTCAACACACATACACACACACACACACACACACACACACTCCTCATCATGGCTGCCACGGACGTAGACGTGTTTTCGGTGAGTAATGTATGAATTCGTTCCTTTTTCTCTGTGAAATGTTGATTTTGTACGGCGCACTCTACGTTGTTTTCCTCAAATTAGCACCGCTAGCCTGTCCGCTACCGGGACTAACGTTAGCATGAGTCTACAAATACAGAGATCCACACAACACCGAATAAACGGGGATATTTGTGGGACGTTTGTGGACTCAATATGCTTTTTGGACCTATACAATGATAAATCGCGCCCACAGCGTTGTGTTGTTGGACACACTGCATTTTAAGCCCTGCTACTTTCTGAGAGAGCTTCGTGTTGAGTTGTGGTTTGGTTGGTTGAATGAACAAATATCTCACCTCCTTTCTGCTTTTCTCAGGAGACTTCTGGTAACTGTGGGACTGCCTCAACCAGTAAGCTAGTTTTCCTCAAAAATGTGTGATTGGAGTCTAAACAAAAGACTAAAATGTCAAAATAAAGCACCTGATAAAGATAAGAATGGCTTCCGTTGAGTATTAACGTTAGTTGACATTCTGTGCGCAGTAGTAACACAGAAAGAGTGGAGAAGCAGCACTAAATTCAGAGGCCACTGATGGCAGTGATGGAGAACGAAGACACCAGAGATCAACAAAGGGTTATTAACTTTCAGTCTATCAGGAAAAAGGGATCCTTGTGGTTGCTAAAAAAGGAGGGTGAGTGGCTCTGTGTGTGAAGGATAAGCAGATTATCAGCAAATCCTGCCTCTGGCTGTCACAGGAGCCACAGTGGAAGAAGTAGTGCATTACAGAAGTGCAGAACTCGTATGAGAGTGATATTAATAAATACAAGGTGGTTGAATAGCAGATGTTGGGAGTGGTTGTTACTTTTTGCTGAGACTTTGAATGTATTTTTAAAGCTCTGAAAGACAAAGAGAGAGAGAGAGAGAGAGAGAGAGAGAGAGAGAGAGAGAGAGAGAGAGAGATGTGACGGCTCCAGTAAGGTCCCATTGTGCTGCTCCTTTTGTGACCCCGGCGATCAGTAAGTGATCACACAAAAAAGCACTGTTCATTTGTGACAGTTTGCCGGGACAGCTGACTTTGAGCCGTTTCCTTGGTTCCTCTGTACAGCCACAGACCAGAAACTGTCTATCACAGCAGTCCAGGCTGCTCCTGCGAAAGACCTTTCTGTAAACTATTGCTTCCAGTAGGCATCAGCTGTGTTCAGCCTGTGTAGCAGAAAAGGCAGGCTAAGTGATACTATGTCTGTTATGTCTAGGGCTGTCACGATTCATTGATCAAAATTATTAAAATTGACCTTGTTGGTGAATCAGTAATGATTAATTGGGAGTTTGCAGGGAGTTTGGAGGGTCTGTCTTACAGTAAGAAACAATGAGTGATGGACACACCCATTAAATTTTTTTTTGCTTTTCAGTTCTTGTTCACTTAAGTTCACTTTGCTTAGCCTTTTTAAAAAAGCAATTACTGTTATACACAGATATGTATGGGGAAGTGACGGTGTGTCAGAGTTTGTGTTGCTATTAAAGGGGAATTCCTCTTATTTCACAAATTTTCCGTACTTAAGTCATTACGATGTAAATAAAGTCATTCAGAGGTAAGGCAAACTGGGCCGTTCGTGAGAAACTTAGTCAGAATTGTTCACAGTGGTGCTGCTAGGAACCAGACATCCAAAGAGTTTAATGACTCCAAAAGCTCCTTCACAGAAAATTATTGCACAAAATGGCAATGAATATGCAGCCTAATGCCTGAGACATAATAACAATCATTACAATAGTTTTGACATAACATTTTAGCCTAAAATGTATTTTTTAAAATCCATTCTTGGTGGAGAGATGCATGCAGGGCATTGTTAGACAAATAGTTCATGCAGGAAATGTATTTTTTGAGATTTTCCACTACTTTACCATTATCAACATTTAATAAAAGCTCAGAAGACATGTAGGTTCACTGGTGGTTTTAGACAGTAGCAAAGTCCTTATAGAAAAGTCTCGACTTTCGAGCCCACTCAACAGCCATCTTGGCAACGCCACCGCGCAGTTATTTCCAGTCATACAAGACCAGGCTTTTATTTTTTTGAGCTGTAAGAGACCTAAAAACTCGAAACTGAAGGCCAGATTACCATTTCAAAACATATTTAAAATCACTGTTAAAATCTGACAAATGTTTCATAAGTAGTTTTTGTGGTGTTTGGCTCAGTAACTCACCAAAATATGTTTTGTGTTGTTCTGGCTACTGCGCTTGCGCAGACCTCCACAACTGAGCCTGAGTAGAACGGGGGCTTTTCCCACTTGTGGCTAATCCAGCAAGCCTTTTGGCTCTTTTTACCGAAGGACTTTCTCCATGAACAGTCTACATGTTAAGGGTTACAAGCTTTCCCATTTATTTTCCAAGCAGTGACCTACCTCCTCCTTCATATCTCTGATAGTAAATAAAATACCTGTATTTGAATTGTGGACATTATGACCTCTGGTTTGACATGAAATCACTCTGTATGACTTTGTTTACTTCTCAACATTTGAATTATTGAGAACTTTTTGGAATAAGTCTCTGGAATTCCCCTTAAAGGTTTCTAAGATCACACAGTTCAAAGCAGAGTGCTTTCTAATGCTGTTTTTAGGTATTGGCAGAACACATGGTTGGGTGCTTTGGTGGTGGTAGACTTTGATTACAAATGCATGTGCTTTCGGTTTGAGTACGAATATTGATCAGCTGTATTGAGCTGAGAGGGACCTATTTTTCATTCTGGTTATATAATGGGGCAAAAAACAGCTGAGAGCTATGTTTTGTGACTCAACAGTACACGTAGTGAGGGAGCTAATCTAATTCTCATGTTTCTTATGTAATTTTTTAACATTGTTTTGCAACCGTTGCTGCCTTTCTGTGACAATTATTTTATTATATAAACGGACCTTGCACACAGGGAAGTGCTTTAAAAAAGGCAGAGTAAAGGGTAAAATTAATTCAGCAAATAAAAATTGGTAAGAAATACTTTTCCTGTTACTGTATTATTCCATAATGATATATAAAAAAACAGTTAAAACATGTCTTTTTTTCACCAGGCCTGAATTGGTGACTTTGAGAGAAAATT